ATATATATTATATATATGTATATATGAAAAATATATAAAAAATGCATGTGGGTACTCAAATGAAAGCTCGTGATGAGTGTAACATCGGGATGAGCTTATATTTTATTTATTTATTTATTGTTCACAAGTCACAGCAGTCACATAGTGACTGCAAGGTTGCTAGTTATTAATTATTAAGAACTAATTTTAATTAAAGTAAATTTTTTTATTGGAGTAAAAATTAATCAATCAGTAATTTGTATTAAAAGCGCAGTCCCTTTAAGGATCCAATAAGAATTTTTTTGGGATGAAGGTAGCAAGATAGGAGTAACAAAATTAGTACTGTGTCCAGTAGTTGATAGTACCCCAGCACGAACAGCGGTCTTATAAAGCGGACAAATGTAGCGTTGATCATTTTCTGGATGAGTTAGCACGGGTATTACGTGGGTTACTGGTAATGGAGGGTTTATTTCGCCTGTTTGTTATTTATTATGCATTATACAGATAATTTAATCAATTAATAAGCTATTTTGATATTATTATTCAATTAAACCATTATTAAAAATGAATAAAATTAAAAATTAACTTACCTAATGAAGCGTCAACAAGAAGCATTGAATTAATATTCCACTTTGCTGCGTCCAAATACAAACCATGAATCAAAACTCCGTCGCTTGGCATTGAAAGATTTTTATACAGTAAATGATCCTTGAAATAAACCAATTATTGATTCATTAATTAATTGATTGAATTAGCAAGTATGATAATGCAAAGACAAACCTGTTGATTAATTGTGTGAGCATTCTGGATTTCATCTTGATATAAAAGCGTCTTAGTTACCGCATAATCCAGCTTGAGCTGATCAATAGGAATATTATATTTCCTTGCATGAGTTTGGAGCACTGCGGTAATGAATCCTTGAGGAAATGAAAGCCCGGATAGCCAGTAAGAAACCGGTTCGTTTGTTAACCAGCTCTGGATTAAAATGTCAGTCAGGAAATTAATTAAATTCATTTTTATAGAATAGTTAAAATAAAATATTTTATTCTTGGGTACTTTTATAAAATCCGTTCTGAGTTCAAGATCTCTTATCCAACTGCCTAAAGACTTGAGCGATGGATAAACGTTCAGATCATGCCATACCTTCGGGACCTTTCATTTAAAGTTAAGTATATTGAGTCGTTAAATTGTAAGAGGAAATACTTTTAATAAAGTATTGGGTAATTATTTACAAGTGGGGTACAAAGTTTTAATTTTAATTTTTTTTGAACGAAATTCCTATTTGATTTTATTGAGAAATTTTTTTTGAAAAATACATAAAAAAATGAACAGTTAAAAATAAAAAAAAATTGATTATTACAATTTTACAAATTTAAAAAATAATTTTTAATTGTTTAGAAAATTGTGATGTTCAACTTTGTTTTTTAAATTGTTGGTTTTTTTATGTATTTTTCAAAAAAAAATATCAAAAAAAGATAAAATAGAAATTTTACAGTCCACCATTTGAATTTTCATTTTTTTGAACGAAATTTCTATTTGATTTTATTGATATATTTTTTTTTTTGAAAAATACATAAAAAAAATGAACAATTAAAAATAAAGAAAGTTGATTATCACACTTGTAACAAATTTTACAAATTTTCAAAAAAATTTATAAATTTTTTAGAAAATTGTGATATTCAACTTTTTTTTTTAAATTATTTATTTTTTTCTGTACTTGTCAAAAAAAAAATATATCAAAAAAAGATAAAATAGAAATTTTATCCAAAAATATCAGAGCTAAAATTTTTTCCAACTTTTGAAGGCAAAAAAGCTATCAAAATCTTTGTTTTTTTCTTTCAGAAAAAAAAATTGTAATTTTTCACCTAGATATGGCCAAAAATAAGCTGAACTCCACTTGTAAATAATTACCTAATATTGAGTATTTACTTGATTATTTAATAAAGAATTAAAGACGTTCTCTAATTCATCTGACATAACAACAAATCCTTTAATAGCGCGCTGTAAATTTTCCATTGATGCGTGAATATTTTTTAATAATTTATTGTATCGATCAATTTCATGTAATAAGACTGTTGTTAGTGAAGGAACTCTTCCCGCTGAATCTTTCTATAATTGTAAGAATAATAATGTATGTTAAAAAAAAAAATCAATTGTTATTTTGAATAAAATAAAATAAATAATTTATAAAATTACTTTGTAATGATTTTTATTGCATTTGTCAGAATCAATATTAAGCTCAATCTGATTCATAATTATTTGCGCAGTATCGTAAACTATTTCCGAGTTTGATTTGCTTTCAATGTTTGCATCAACTGTCGGCTGAATTTGCGCTATTGTATTTATCACTAATTGTGACTCGCGCAACTGAAATAATTCGTGTAACTTAGTTGTTAAATTACAAAAAAAAATATTGTCTATTATTAATTAAATTTTCAAATTTTTACCTGATAAGTTATATTTGCATTTTCATGCATTCCAAAAATTTCAGGCTCATCAATAATAGGAAAAGTTTCTACAAAATTTTTATACTCCTCCAAAGTTTTTAATCTCGGACAGTAATACACTCCAGAGGGCGAATAAATGTAATCTAAATAGTAATTAAAATGTAAAGATGAGCAAATAAGTCTTCACAAGCATTAAATTTTAATTAAAAAGGATTTTTTGCTTACTGTATTACCTTTGTTAAATATTTTTGGTGAAAAAAAGTTGTCGAGGATAGTTTTCAAGCAGCGCAAATCCCAGTTATCTGTAATTCTGCCTCCGTATGTAATTTCACCTAGAGCAAAAAACAAAAAAAATTTATTCAATGAATATTTAACCATCAGGAATGTAAATTTTTCTATTAACAATTTTATTACCGGTAGTATACACCAATGCGTTCCAAGGTATTAATTCATTTTCAGTAAATATTTTTAAATTCGATAGACAGCATTCGCGGTCGTTATCCGTGAATTCGTATAATATATTCCAGCCTAATGGCCCGTACTTTTTTCTTTCTTGTATAATTGAATGAAAAAAACATATTCCGAATATCATGACCCGCCAATTGTCTCCTGAAATACAAAATAAAAATATTCAGACAGATTTTAAGAAGAAATACGTAACACCTAATATAACATATCGCGTTACTAAAATCAAAATTATAAAAAAAAATTTTTTTTTTTCAATTAACTAAAGGGAACTTATAAAAGAAAAATCTGGATAAAAAACGAAAAAGAATTTTTTTTTCTAAGTACGCCTTTTTGAGTTTAAGAAAAAAAATTTTTAAAGCCAAAACGAATAAGAAAAATTAATCAAAGTAGCTTCTAAGGACCTTAAAACGTCGAGATCTAATGAAAAAATGATTTTTGAAAATTGTACTGAAAACCTTAACGCATCCTAATTTTTTTTTAATTGTCAACTTTTTATATTTTGTAAAAATTTACTGAAAAAAAATGAAAATTAGTTTAGCACATATTTAATAATTTTAACAATTTTATAACAAATAAATTATCTCAAAAAAAAATTAAAAAAAAAATTGACATAGAGAAATCGGTATTAAAAAATTAAAAATGCAATTTTTTAAAAATAATTTTCTGGAACAAATTTTTTTGTTAAATAAAATTAAAAAATTGTGACTGCTAACTTTAATTTCATTGAAAAAAATTGAAATAAAATTTTAAACTTCTAACATAAATTAGTAACGCAATATGATACTGATTAATAAATAAAATAAATAGATACCATCGTGTTCAAAAAATTCTTGGCTCAAATCAAAAAGCATTCGCTTGATATTAGCTTTCAAGCCTTTGGGTGGTTCGTTGGTAATTTTAACAGAGTTTTCGAGTATAGAAATAGGAAAAGCATCGCTAGGCATCGAACTTAAGAAAAGCCGAAAGTCTCTATGGACCTCGACACTTTCATCTGTGATTTCAGAGACTAATTTCTCGAGCGTCGGCATCCACGACGTCGCCAAATGACAGTTTTGTAAAAAAATCCAGTGACCTTTAACACGACCGTCTTTGATAAGTTTCTCAGCAATTGGTCCTTGCCCTTGACCCAACGATATTGAACTGTACTTGTCGATAAATCCCATTTCGCCGGCAAACTTAATAAATGATCCAAAAGGATCACAACCCGTGCTCAGTATAAATATTAAAGGTGTATTGTGTGATATATCTTGGTACCTAAAATAAAAAAAAAGTGTATAATTTATTTAATATCCAACTTCATAAATGAAATATAACTTTGATATTTTGTTAAATTTATTAATGCTTATCAATAAAGTATTCCCATCGCGTGCATACGTTCAATTTACCTTTACCCTTATTTTTGCCTTAACTTTGAACTAAGTAGTTATTGTATGTATGCGTGGAGAGATAATACTAATAATAATAATAATAATAATAATAAATAAATAAAAAAAATTCTTACGTGTCGGATAATGTTACAATAGACGATTCGATAAATTTTCGACCGAAGTCTTTATTTACCAAGGCCGTTATTAAAACCAATAGCTTTTCTTCTTTTAATGATTTCACTAGCATCAATTTTTCAATATCGCTCAGCAAGATATTCCAATCTTTTATCGCTTCTATATTATTATTTCTCTTTAAATTTATTTCCTTAGAAATATATAAAATTTTTAATATTTTTTTAGCTTTTATAAAAAATGTGAATAAGTTTTTATTAATAATAAAATATTACTTCTTCAATGTATCCGAGAGTAAGTTTTATTTTTCTAAATGCATCGTCTATTATTCCATTGAAAACTGAAAAGTTTTTATCAAGATAATTTATTGATTTCCACGCCAAGTCACTTATATTTTCTGGTTTTTTTCTCTGAAAGTTTTTTTTTTTTTATCAAATATAAATTATAAAATCGTATAAAAAATTTACGGAGTGATTTTTATTACCAATTCGATAGACCCTGGTCCGCGCAAAATAAAATTCCACTGAGTTTGAGTAACTGTTTTATTATTGATACAAATTGCAACGTCAATCATGAAAGCTAAAATAATTTTATGTCTCTCAAAAAGTCCTCGAGAGACGTTTAAATAAATTGCCAAAGTTATTTTTTCATTTAGGATACTCAGACGTTTTTCAATGTCTTGATTTTTTTCGCTCGTCTCGATCGCATGATTGAATACCTAAAAATTACATTTTTTAGCAGAATACTAGGGAGTACCCTTTAACACCTCAAAAGTAATAAATAAATAATATTAATTAATTGTGATGATAATTACTTGTTTAAAATATTTTAGCGAGAATTGATACATAGGATCTATTTCTGCAAGACTAGCAATGACAAAAAATAAAATAAATCCTAGAGTAGCTACTGATCGATATTTATCACGCGCTATTATTATCTTAGCCTCTGTTTTTTCAGACTCAACAAGCCGAGCAGTTATAATTGCGGATGTCTCTTTGCTATTATTTAAGCTCTCGACTAATTCCTCATTGTCCAAAATATTACCCGGGCTGGATAACATCGACAGAATTTTTTCTTCTATTTTTTCCAACTGTATTCCGTCGTGATTTATCTTCTCGACTAATTCTTCCCTCTGTTTCTCTAAATCCGGCCTCTCAAGTTTCACAACTTCTCTAAATAAAATAAAATAAAATATCATTAATATTTATCACCAACAAATTGCTCTCAAAATAGTTCAGTATAAAAGTTATCAATTATTACCCGAGTAATTGATCTTCAAGACCAGATGGTGTAACAGTAAAGTTAACAATTGTTACTTTGATACAAACTTCTGGTAAATAATGAGGATTTGAAAGCTTTGTGGTCATGTACAGCTTGAACCCTTTTTCATATTCTATATCAGTGTTATTTATTCTCATAATCATTCTTCCTTCCTTGAAACAAAAATCATTTAAAATTTTTTCATTAGGTACTTTAAAGTTAAGTTTGTTAAATTTTTCCGGAAAAATTTTTTTAATAAGTAAAAGTACCTGCATAAATATTTGCTGAAGTAAAATAGGTTCTAAACTAGGATCAAGAATTTCTCCTACATTATAAATCATAACTGGCAGCCCAAGTCTAATACAATTTTCAATAATCCTCATCAAATTTGGATTATTCATTTCACTTATCTTGATATTATTCTCAGCTTCCATATTTCTAATCCACCGGTAGCCCTGGAGCGTAAAACCACATTGAAGAAAAATAAATACTGTACAGCAGTATCGATATTCAATATATAATTTAATAAAATATACCATTAATTGTCTTAATACTAAGTAAATTTACCATGAAAATTAAATTAGCCGACATCTGAAAATTTTTATAATCTATATTATTAAGAGAATAAGAAAAATTTTGTTTCCAGGATAGTTATATGACAAAATCGGTTTTTTTAAGTAAAATTTAGGGTCATTGCAAGTCTCGACTTGAATTTGTGCCTTTTCAAAGTTTCATATCATTATCACCAATAGTCAATTTATTATGATAAGTATTTAGGCTGCATTCAAAAATTCTTTATCTCTAGATACATAATTAAGAAGTCCTTATATCTTGAGAACTATGGACATTTTTAAAGATACAAGCTCATCCCGATGTTATACTCATCGGGATCTTTCATTTGAGTACCCACATCAATTTTTCATATATTTATATATATTATATATATTTATATATGAAAAATATATCAAAATGCATGTGGGTACTCAAATAAAAGCTCTTGATGAGTGTAACATCGGGATGAGCTTATATCTTTAAAAATATCAATAGTTAAGAAATGACATCGAATCTTGTCATCTAATGACATTTTTAAAGATATAAGCTCACATTCACATTATATTCATTGAGACCTTTCATTTAAGTACCCACATCAATTTTTCATATATTTTATATATATTATATATATAAATATATGAAAAATATATCAAAACGCATGTGGATACTCAAATGAAAGCTCTTGATGAGTGTAACATCGAGATGAGCTTATATCATTAAAAACGTCAATAGTTAAGAAAGTACAGTGCAATTTAACAAGTCATTATAGAAAGTTTGAAAAATTATCCGTAAAAATATTTTTTTAGTTCCAATTTAATTTATAAAAAAAATCAAAAATTGTTGAATATCGGCTAATTTTAGTATCATAAATTTACCTGCTCCTGAGGATCAATCAAAAGCGGCCAACGTCGCGCTTGAGTCACCAGCAGCGCGTTTTCAGTGCTCACGTTGTCTTTCGGTAACCCGAAAACATTCCACGTGCAAATTTTGTACGGACTAATTAAACTTTTGACAAGACTGAAATTTTCCGTAATATTTATTTTGTGAGTGTCAATCGCCGTCAACCAAACTCGCAGCAATTCCTGTCGATAAATCTGAGTGAAAGCCCCGAAATAAGCCAGCGCGCCTGCGATAATAAGGCAATCACCCGTCAGGTTATTTATTTTCGAGTGAAATCCTCGTGTCATGTCTTGCCATAATTCTTGTCCGTCAGATAATGCCGCGATTAAGCGCCCGGATCTGTTTAATCGAGACTCATTCAACGCAATCGTAGATTCTAACTGATCTAGACGCTTAACTGCCAGGTTGTATTGTTTCTCAAGCTTTTCTATTTTCTTAACGACCACACTTAATTGTTTTTGCTTCTCTGCTACTAGTTCTTTAAGTGCCTGTAGCTCTTCTTGTGCTTGTTGCAATCTAAAAAATTATTTTATTCTATTTAAAGAAAAAAAATTATTATTGTAATATTAAAATTAAAATTATTCTTTTAATATTAAAATTAAATTTATTATTTTAATATTAAAATTAAAATTATTAATTTAATATTAAAAATAAAATTCAAGGAATTTTTTGAGACTATCAGTTATAAAATGTAATTAATTAATTACTTGAGACGTTTCGGCTCAACAACACGAAACACTTTGGCATATCCGTCAATAGCTCTTACCCAAATGCAAATTGACTTGCAAACTTTACTTTGCTTAGCAACAAGATCCGGAACAAACTCGGGATTCTTCAAATAGCTTTCCAATTTTTTAAGCAATTTATCATTTATGTCATCCTTGGGATAGTTGATCAATCGATCAAGAAAGTGCACGTCCGAAAGTATAAGCTTCGCAGTCGGCCAGTCCGTTCTAGAAATAATAAATAAAAATTATAAATGAATTTTTTAAGTGAAATATTATTAATTGGTCCGTACTTTTCGCCTAAAAGCAAGCAAACTGCCTCCATTACGTAACGCACGAGATGCGGAGGCTTATTAAAAACTTTAATTTCGTTAATGTCGCTTTTGTTGAGCGACTGAAGAGCTTTTTGCGCCTCCTCCAGAGCTGGCATCGCAGCCTCCAGGTCTTTGCGTGCCTCGATTTCTAAAACTGCCATTTCGTCGGCTTTTATCTATACCGAAAAAATATATTTATTATTCATTGGATTTTTTTTATCCCAACAAATTAAATTAAAATAATCGATAAATAAATTTTGTAATTTGCGTTGTTTATAAAACTCTAATTTATTTTACTCAACCTCTATTGTTAAACTAATGAAAAGATTTAAGTTACTTTAGCAGTAGCCTCATCCGCTTCTACGACACTTCGGACTTTATCACACTCAATTTTTTCTTTTGTCACGACTTCCATAAGTTTTTCCACTTCTTCGCGGCTTGTTTTCAATTGCGGTGTTAATATTATTATTTCATTCTTCATTACATCTACTGTTTCTTTAGTTTCATACAATTTCTGGTGATAAAAGTAATAAATAATAAATAACAATGAAAAAGATTAAAATATCAATCTCAATAATTTATCAGATTAATATAAGTAAATAAAAAAAAAATGATAAACTTACATTTAAGCCATTTTCAATTTTATTTTTCAATGACATTATTTCATCTGTCTTTCGCTTTAGAGTTGTTGAATATAATTTCAATAATTCAAGATAACTACTCGGTGTTGTATAATATCGACGTCGCATTTCAGTTAAATATCTCTCTGTCATTTTATCAGTCGTCTATTTTTAAAAATTTAATTTCAATACCAATTATTTATCATCTTTAATAAAAAATAGTGAATTATTACGCGTTACTAAAGCCCTTTTCTTAAAGGACCAAAAGGGTGTATAAAAAAATTTTTTTTCTTCAATCAACTTAAGAATGTATTTTACAAAAATTCACTGAAAAAAATTAAAATAAAATTTTTAACTTCTGACAAAAATTGACAATTTAAAAAAATTGGACTACAATAATATTTTCAGTTCAATTGCTAAAAATAATTTGTTTATTAGGGGTCTCGACGTTTGAAGGTTCTTAGAAGCTACTTTGACAATTATGACAAGCTAATTATGACAAAAAAAAATTAGGAAAAAAAATAAAAAATGCAATTTTTTACAAAATTTGTACAAATTTTTTTGTTAAATAAAATTGAAAAATGGTCAAGTAACAACTACCTAATATCATTTTGGCTTTAAGATTTTTTTTTTCTTATAATCAAAAAAGCGTACGTCGAAAAAAATTTTTTTTTGCGTTTTTCAACCAGATTTTTATTATTTTTTTACATTTTTTACTTAATTGGAGTTAAAAAAATTTTTTTATACATCTTTTTGATTTTACTAACGCGATTAATAATAATAAATTGAAATATTATTGGCTATAAATTTTTCAGAATAATTTTCAATTATTTTTTCAATCTTTTAATCTTCTTAAAAATTTCTTTTTAAAAAAGAATTTTTCAAATATCAGAGCATTAAAAACCATGACAAACACTTGTATTCCTCGTATATCAACTCTTATTTGTCGATTTAGAGGAGGAGTGTTATCCTGACAAGCCAAAGTCACGCGGATTGACTGTAAATCGATAAATAAATAAAATATCTGGTATACTTGGTGCATCAGCATACAAATGGAAGCCAGGGAAGAAGCTAGTTGAAGATCTTGAGTGATGTCTGGAACGATGGAAATTTTAGCGACCGAGAGAAGGGCTTCGTCGGGCCACTTGGTGAACCAATCGATCGTGCAGCAATTGACCAGTGAAGGAAACATGCGACAGCGACGTCTTAGATATGTAAGATATAAAATATTTAGAGCGCTCATCGATTTGCATCACTATTACATCTTTGCTTATACTTATACTTATTATGTATATTATAGATGAATAGTTCATCAGCAAAACCCACCGAAATGCGTCACCAGCAGGACTCATGCAAAGCACGATGTGGAGGTGATTCCTCACCCGGCTAACAAACAGATTGTAAATTTCGTCACGGTTTTCTTCGGATAATCCGGCTTCTTTGGCTGCGGGTCTCGTCAAGATTATTATTTTCTCTAACTCATCAGCCTCGAATAAATTTGGCACTTCGCCTGAAGATAGTTATTTTTTAATTTAATTTTTTTAATTATTAATTACAAAATAATTACCGGAATTAAGTGTATTGTTAATATCTTCAAGAAATTCTTCCATAACAATCTGAGTATCTGTAAAGAGAAACGTCGCGTCTTCGGCTAAAGCTCCGGGCTTTGAATAAAAATTACGTAGATCTGTATGCCAAGAATTTATATCATATCCACGACTTATTTCAATTTGCCAACATCTGTAGTAAGAAATAAAAAATTCAATCTATTTAGCAAAACACAGCATTAAATTCTTAAATATTTTTTTACAAACTAAAATCAATTTGTCAAGATTTTTATGTCAAAAGTTAATCACGATTTTTTCATCAAATTAAATGAAATATTGTCTACAATATTTAACATTTTTTAATGTAATTTTAATTTTTATTTTTTAATTTAATTTCAATACGACGTTCTAATTAGTAAATAAAATTGTCTAACTCCATTTTAGAGAATCTTCTATTTGTACGAAAAAAACAATTAGTTCAAAATTTATTATCACTTTAAAGAACCATTTAATATCATTATTATCTATTAGAGATATAATATTTAGGTTTGAATCATTCAAATAATTTATTATTCGATTATGGCTACATCAAAATGTTAAAAAAATCACCCTCTAAAAAATATGGAGTTAGACAAATTACTAATTAGACCATCGAATAGCTTGTTTGCCTTCAAAAGTTGAAAAAAAAATTTTGGCTCTCATGTTTTTTTGGATAAAATTTCTATTTTATCTTTTTTTGATAGATTTTTTTTTGAAAATTACATAAAAAACGAACAATTATAAAAAAGTTGAATATCACAATTTTTTTTTAATTGTTAATTTTTTATGTATTTTTCAAAAAAAATATCTCAATAAAATTAAATAGAAATTTCGTTCAAAAAAATGAAAATTAAAATGGTTGACCTTATTTGTAAATATTTACCAATAAAAATTGTACCTTTAATGTTTTTGAAGATTTAGTTTTACAGAAATTTTATTTTATTGTTCTGAAAAAATTGAGCACAAAAATTTACATAAACTACTCTAGAGAATCAGATAAAATAAAAATTCAAGTAAATTTATGTTATGATATCCATTTTTGTAGTAAAAATTCAGTTAGAGTAAAGTGACCGACATTGAGAGCGTTCACTCTGCTAAATTTTAAAGAATAAAGACTTTATTATCTTGCAATTGATTATTTAGACGGAAAAAAGTTTAGTAGGACCAAGGGACATCTTGAGAATTTAAAATGACCATGAATTAAAAATTAAGGGCTTGTATTGCGATAAATTGTTTTTATTTTAAATATTTATTTCAACTTCTGAAGAAATGTTCTTACTTCTACGACTTAATCAATAATTAATAGCAATTAATTATTAAATAAAAATAATTATTAAATAGAGTATCAAGAGTATCAAAATTTCTGTAATATTAATTATAAATTTTAATTATTGTAAAAATATACCAACAAACTTACGGATATCCATTGAGATGAGATGCTAATTTACTCAAGCTCTGTTTACCCATGCCACCTACACCTACAAGTAATCCATGGCCCCGTTCTGATCTCAAGATTCTCGCTATTCTGCACAAGTGTTCGATGGCGTGGAAAAAAAATATAAGCTTCAAGTCTTTCTTTGTTGCGAGACAATAATCGTCTAGATAATCCTGAGATGTTTTAAAATCAATACCCTCCAGTTTAAACTTTGACACAAAAAAAATAAATAAAAAAAATTTCTAATTAAATAAAAAAAAAAAAACCTGAAGAACAGACTTGATTTTTTCAACATCGGTAACTTCTTCATAGATTCTAAGCTCCCTGGGGGTACCGAATTTCATAAAGTCTCCAAAGAAAAGCTCCGACGGCGTATCGATACTATCAGAAGTATTTTCAGGCAAAGCAACAACTTGATCGGGAAAAAAACCCGAGCATGTTTCACTGAGCAATCTGTAAAAGTAACTTTTGTCGATATTATCAACCAGACGGTCATGAAAGACCCTTAAGCATTCGTGATAAAAGAGTCTCGTCATTTGTCTGGCATCGCGAATGGACACCGGGTCCGACTGCATCATCCCTTGCACACACTTCGACAAATCCCTGAGATTAAAAATATAATGGCTTTTCGCCGGAGTCGGCAGTAAATCAGTCGCGATGCGGTCGTAGATTTCCACCGCTGCGGTTACTATTGCGTCCGCGATATTGACAACCGATTGAGGGAACAATTTGTGACTCAAAAAGCCTCTCACGATCGCTCTGAAAAAATCAATTACATTTAAGTATTCAACAAATACACTAGTCACAAAAATTAAGTGATGTAAAAAAAATTCCAAATTTTTGGGTGATTTTTAACGAGCTGTAACTTCAAGGAAAATGATTGTCCAGCGAAAAAAAAAACAAATTGTAGCTCCAAGTGTTTAATTTTCAAATATGACCATAAAAAATTTTTTATCATGTTTGAGTCTGCACAGTAAAAAATTTTTCGTCATTGTGTAGAGTGTTAAAATTTGTGTATTGAATAATATTACACTCTAGTGTGTAAAATTTAACATTCTAGTGTATTAATAAATTCATTAAAACAAACCTGAGAATGTTAAATTCTATACACTAGAGTGTAATATTCAACACACAAATTTTAACACTCTACAAAATGACGAAAAATTTTTTACTCCACGGAGTAATCTTAAGAAAATTATAAAAAAAAATTTTTCCGAATTTCTTCTCATCTAAAAAAAATTCTACGGGCTTCAAAAAAATTTTTTCTTATTATTGTTTCCTTCAAAAGCTCTTTTAGAAAATTTAATGCCCTTTAATTTGACGCAATCAAAACGCCTGTTCGATGATTTGCCGCGGAGTTATCGTCAATTAAAGCAAAAAAGTTCTTTTTGACTTTGATAATCAATAATTCTGGGAATAATGATCGTATAGGAAATCGAAGGAAGGTTTTGGAAACTACATAGACAGAAAGAAAGAAAAATTTCTTGATTAAAGAAGAAAATTCTTGGCCCAAGAAAATTTTTGGGTGCCCGAAGGAAGACCGAAATTGAAAATCACCCAAAAATTTGGATTTTTTTTTATATTCTTCAATTTTTGTGACTAGTTTATATATTCGATAATTTAGATTGTAATACTTGAAAATCGTTTGCAAAGAAGCCTCAGTAGGTATGGGGATCATAAGCATAGCAAAGTGCCGGATAAATCGCTGGCTAAGAGGATTTCGCCCGCCTCCGGGGGGCGCGCAAGCTGCCGTTAATACCACGTCTTCAATAGACGTCCAAATAAGTTTTTTCCGGTCGTAGAAGCCACGGAAGTCTAAGACTTGTCTCAGAAGTTCGACAGGCGGCTGAGAGCCGTAAGTATCTAGCCGTGGCATGTTAACATCGTCTACAAAGACACACACACGCTTACCCACGGGGCCGCCGAGGGAAAATCGCATCTTTTTCTCCATTTTTAGCTCCAAAATGTCTTGCGTCTGTTTACTCGTCGTCTGACCGGAAAAATTTAGCGTTATTGGCAGCCATTGCTCCGATTCGCGTAGACTCTTTAGCACGCCTTTCATTATTACCGATTTTCCGACACCTAAAAGCCAATTTCATGGGATAAATCTATTTTTACTATTTTAAATACTAAATAAGGTTTTATTTTCTTTGTACCAGTTGCGCCAGTGATAAACACGGACTTGTTCGCATTTATTATTTTTTTAACGATGAATTCAAAGCGCACTGTGTCGATTGTAGGGACAAGAATGTCAAAAAAAGGCACTTGAGGGTCGTAAGTAAACGCGGGTATCATTTTTAGCCATATGTCCATACGTTGTTTGTCTGTGTTCACCCAGAGATTCCAGAGGTCTCCTGCTACAGGCAATCTGGTAGGAAAATTATTTAATATTAGATTTTTCGGGTGATTTATTTGGCCGAAATTGGACAGTTATAGTTTTATGTTATACCTTGCGCTTGAATTTCCTTCCAGTTGGTGGGTGACAAAAAGCTCGAAAGCCTCGCGCGACGAATCAATAACATTGCCTCCGATACCCCAGATATATGAGAATACGAAAGACTGGGTGACAAACGTCGTTAGTCGTGATTTATCAACTATTTTGTTCACGGTGTCTGACTCTAGGAGAATACTTTCCAGAAGAGTGCAGACTGTATTCACTTTACTTATATCAACCTGAAATCATGAATAAAAGCTTTGATATAATGATTATTGATCAAGAAAACAAAATATAGCTAGATTTGAATATCTCTTTAATTTTTTATTCATTTTTTTGGTAATGTGATTTTATAAGCGTAAGGAAATCTTTTAGCGCAATTTTTAACGCTTTTAAGACCTGATTAATTTGAAAATTCCCACATATTAAATTAAGGACTGATGTACGGAAAAAGAAAAGGAAAAAAATTGTATTATATAATGTAACGGAGCGCTCCGTATAAAATTTTGGAAAAATTACAGTTTCACATTGTAATTACAGATTTTTTAAGAATTAGATTTAAAGCGATGAAAATTACCATTCAAAGTTTAATTTAAAAAATGCTATTTTGAACTACAATTTTTTTAATTTTAAATTTGAATCGACAATTAATGACACTGAAATTAGCATAAAAATGAAGTTAGCCAACATTTAAAAATTAAAAAAATTTTTTTTTATTGAAAAAATGACGAAAAAAAAATTTTCATTTGTAAAAAACTTTAAAAACTGTAAGTGCCATTTTGTAAAAATATTTTTTTGTTCTAATTTAATTATTAAAAAAAAATCAAAAAATTTTAAATATCGGCTAACTTTAGCGGACATCTGAAAATTTTTTAAATTTTTATAACAAATCAATGATTATAAAAAAAATATTATTAAAAATTCGCACTTATAATTTTTTTAAATTTCTACATGTGAAATTTTTTTTTTTATTTTTTTTATTACAATTTAGTTGTTATAAAAATCTAAAAAGTTGTTAGATGTCTGTTAAATTCAGTATTATGCGACATTTATAATGTAATTTTCCCCCTTTTTTTTTTTTTCATAGTGATAATAAAATATTATAATTTTATTGTAAAATTTTATTTACATTTATTTAATTTATAATTAAACTGAGTCATTAATTAAGAAGAAATGAAGAAATGCCGACCTGAGCGATGGCCGAGTCACAATGTTTCTTAAAGAAAGCTAACCCATTATCGACGTATCGATCGAATAGGGCTAAAACAATCCCAGCTATCAGATTACCCAGCGAGGGTGACTCCTTGAATTTACTCTTGAATCCAATTAACCAAGTCTTGACATAGGGCATCCAGCCGAGCTCAAGAGGGTCGACATAGACCATTCCGCAACGGCTGACTGTAGCCGGCGAAGCTTGACACAGATCCATCACTTCGAATATCATGCGGACATACGGGGTGAATTTGATGCGCTCGGAGTTTGCGAGACAGAGCATTTTGTTGTCATCAAGGACGGTGTTCATGTTTTCGATCCACAAAGCGTCTACGGGGCCGTCACAGACTACCCACTGGTGGTCATCTGCCTCGGATGAACACGCTTTGCGGATTATTGCACCGAGAAGACCGTCATGCCACTCGTTGGAGTAAATATCCACTTCACCGTACAATTCGCTCATCGTTATTGCTTTAGGGTTCAGAGTGTACATATTAACTCGTCTATTTAATTGGCCCGGAATTTGTTTTTCTGCCAAGGTCGTGTAGGCTTCACTTAGCGTCTGAAAATTATATTAAATTATTTAGAATTTTCTTCTACACAGAAAAAAAATTAATTAAATAATTTTGAAGAATTTCATTCTTTTATTCAAGAATTTTTCGTCTTAATTTAAGACAATAAACCTTCAAAATTATTTTCTTGGTTCAAGAATTTTTCTCTTGATTCAAATTAATTTTTTTTTTTCAATAAAGAATTCAAATTTTCTAGCTTAGATTTTTTTTTTTGAGATTCAATTTTGGATAAATAAATTTTTATGACGAAGTATAAATAAATAACTGATGAAAAATTGTATGATTAAATAAAAAAGTATAAATATATTATTAAAATTTTCTCATCAACAAATTTTACCCTTAAAATAGTTGTTTTTCCTCCGCCAGTTGGTCCAACAAGCATTACACCGTGTCTCACACGAATTGTTTCGTGTAATTGAATTGTCTTGTTAATCGAAGACTCTTCAGGCTGTAAATTAGCTGCATTTAAAATCTGCAATGAAAAAAAAATTTATCAATCTACAAAATACTTAAATTAATTTTATCCTGAATTGCTTACATCAATAATAGTATCTTGAAAAACTCCGTAATGATCCTCGGGTATGTCAACACCCGGAAAAAGATCTGCTAGAATAGCAAGAAATAATAGCTTGTCATCAGCCAAAAATTTTGGCAAATTACTGTCACGCAGAGCTTTTATGAGTACAAGTTCTTCGCTTTTATCTGGGTTTTCACGTTTAAGACTTCCGGCCATTACTAAAACCGATTTTACTGCCCTGGAAGTAGCAATTAAATATAAATCAATATCGGAAAGTAATTACCGAAGAATTTTACCTCATTCCAAAGTCGTAGTGATCTTGCTGAGACAATTGTTCGCTGCACAATGTGTACATTAGGGTCATTTTCTTTGACAATTGCTTGGAAGACTCGAAACCCTCCGAGTATAAAATTACTTCAGCGATAAGTTCTATAAATAATTCATTAAATTATTCTATCGATATAGGTTTATTCCTCTTATTATATTACTGTAATCGGGAACCATCATTGCGATGGGTCGAAACAGAGACTTGAGGTTGTCTGGCAATTCTGTGCGTCCCGCATAACCTGGGTTCATAGTAATAAAAGTAGCGCAAGACATGACTAATTTGAGATTGCGGCCTTCGAACAAGAACCTGAAGCCATTGATTTTCCACAAAATCAATCATTAATTATTAATTAAACCCTACAATTACATAAAACAAAAAAATTTACTCATTAGCACGAGCAACTTTGGCATTTCTGATAGTAATTAATTGCTGGGCAATCACGGAAAGCACTTCGATATCGATTCGATTGAATTCATCGAAGCAGCACCAAGCCCCAGAGGTTGCTAGACCGGAAAAAAATCTTCCCATCATCTAAATGTTGAATAAAAATAAAAATAATTACTAATATTAGCCCTAATAAACAAAATAATTTACCCTAAAGTCTAAACCTTCTGAGCAATTAAAAACAACACACTGAATTGCCAAAGCCTTGGCTAAATCTTTAGTAGTTTCAGTTTTACCGGTTCCTGCAGGGCCAGCTGGGGCTCCGCCTATGAAAAAATCATTTACAACTTAACTATTTTTAATTATTCATTATTGAACAAAAATAAGCATAATTGAGATTTATTGTTTGCCTAGATTGAGTTGCAGCGCGCCCATGAGACACAAATAACATTTATCCGTCAGAGGAGTGATCACGAGTCTCTTCTGTGCGCCTAGATACTCATAACCGTATGAATATTCTGTAGTGCTCATCCGAGTGATGCAATTATCCAATTCTTGGTCCCAGTAATACCGCAAATTCTTCGTCCATTCGAAATTTGAGCTATTTTTTTTATTATTAGTAAATAGAAATTAATTCAGTTTAAGTATTAAAAATTTAAGCTCGTTTTTTTTGCATAAATAGTACTAAATCGCGTTTAAACCTCCCGCTTTTACCTTCAGTAACAGTTACCCCTACCGAGAGCGCGTTTGTAGTGGGAGAAGCGTAGCGGGAGTGGGAGAGCTCAACCGCTCATTCTTCAAGCGACTGCGGTAGAGGTAAGATCACTTACAGAGTAGTTTTAAGGCGTTTAATTATACTAGAATTTAATATACAAGTGCAAGCGCGCGCCTGAGTAGAGAGTTTACATATATTTTTATGCTTATTATAAATTTGACCAATCACATTATGAATAAATTGGCTTTACATATATTCACGGAAAAATGGAAATATGGAAAAATTACATTATATAATGTAAAAGTGGTCCGTCGTAAGAAAAATGGAAAAATTACAGTATAAGATTGAAATTATTACAGATTTTATAAGAATTATATTGTAAAATGCAATATTTACATTTTAATGTAACAATTACAATCTAAAACTGTAATTTTTCCAGTTTTCTTTACGACGGGCTGCTTTTACATTATATAATATAATTTTTCCATTTTTCTGTTTTCCGTTTTTTATCACAATTTTATTTTGGGATTTTTACCTGGAAGTTACATTGTTTTCAACTAACGAAGTTATAATATCTCTAGCATGGACGTCGATTGTGATAAGATTGATTATAATATCTCTTATTAATTTGGGTAATTCATTTCTTACCATACTTGCAAGCTCATTTAAATCCTGGAAGATATAAAAATTAATTAATTAATGATAGTTGTTAATTTACTTGAAGGAAAATTTAATCAACAGCGAAAGTACTGAGAAAGATTTCTGCTCGAAGGTTTTGATGGCTTTTCCAACGTCATCGACAATTTCAAGAATATAATGAACATTTTTGGTCCAACTGATCTGAGAAACAGTTAATACTATTTGAGAGGGATGGGAGTGAATAAAATCACGTCGAGTACGTTTCTCAAAATCAGCAGTAGCGAATTTCATTCTCCTACGCAGTGAAGTGAACATTGACTCTTCAACTTTTCCAAGCCAATCTTCGACATTTCCCCGAGCTTTCAGCCCTTTTCCAAGGCTCACTTTCTCCCCTTCAGGTGAAATCATAGCCAGTATCTCCGTAGTTAATATCACGGAACTTTTTCTAGCCCTTGACGTTCCTTCCGGGTCCGCGGAAGCGAATTCCAAGCGGTAAATAGCGTCGAAGCATTTTTGAAGATGCCTTTGAACCGCATGAGGGTTCCGTGTCTAAAGTTATTCAAACAATAACAATAACTTTCAAGGATCATGATAAATAAAATTACCGGGTCGAGAGTTTGGTTCAGAGGGTGAAAATCTGGCAGAAACAGATTTATTATTTCATAACAAAATTTACTTACTTGAGCAAGAATTTCAAGGAGTTCATCATTCGATAAAAAGAAAAAACGAGGAAAAGCTAGACGCTTTGTATCAAGATACGCCTCAAGACATTTTGTAATTTCATCTAAACTTTTATTATTATCTTCAAGTTGTTCTAAAAGTCCCGGCTGAGTGGTAAATACCATCGCTAAAGGCATCTAAAATTCATTTTTATATGACACATTATTTAGTTTATTCTAACAATAGTAATAACTTTTTTATATATAATTATTTTCCATTGAAAATATTTCAATTTATTATTTTATTTAATTATTTATAATATCGTTAATCTGTATTCCCTCCAGGCATAGATAATTTTAAATCTGAATTTGTCATTAAAGGTAAATTTGACTGAAGAAATAATTCGGATCGCCCAGACCGGGACTCGAACCTGGATCTTTTGGTTACGCGCCAAAAGCTCTACCTGTTAAGCTATCCGAGACACTCCAGAATTACCATTCAGTTACCTATTAATGACACTCAACCATGAATTGTAGTTCTAATATAGTAATATGTTAATTTTAATTTTTCCTTTACCTCTTGTCAGTACATTTTTAAAGCCGATGGTATATTTTTAATATTTATTTTTTTTTCCTAATGACTGGACCAAAAAATCCAGGTTCGAGTCCTGGTCTGGGCCGTCCGAATTATTTTTTCAGTCAAATTTATTTTTAATGACTTATTCGAATTTAAAATTGTTTATCCCCCTAGAGAGAATACAGGCTAACGATATTATAAATAATTAGATAAAATAATTGTTGTATTAGACTGGATAGCCAATAAATTGAAATATTTTCAATGGAAAATATATATAAAGATATTATAAAACAGTCATTAGGAAAAAAAAAAATAAATAATAAAATAATAAGCCTCATAAAAAAATCTATTATATACTAAATACTTTAGCAACTCTTCTCATTATATCTTTCCAGGATTTGTCAACTTGGATAAATAGTTTAGCTTCTAACGGAAGTTGTCGTTGAATATCCGGAGCCGAGAAAATTGCCTCAAGATACAGCCACTGTTGTTGACAATATTGCCAAGATTCCTTACAAAAAATTCAATCCTTTAAATTTCCGTTTATAAAATTAAAAAGTTTTAATAATCAATACCGAACGCTCTTTTAATCGAGTAATTTTATCAATAGTGACCTTTAAAATTTATAAAGAATAAAATTTGCTACCAGAGTGGTTGAAAAAAGGTTTAGCTGTTTAATCCACTCATCAAGCCTCGCTTTAATAGGAGCGACGTGCCGGGAAGCTGCAATAGTTTGAACAGCAATATTACTTTCCTCAAGTGCAGCTTGAATCTCCTCAAGACTTCCCAGCACAAATACATCGCTCGAGTCTTTGTGTCCGAGAACAATGAACTCCAGGTGCTTCCATGTGTCCTGAATTTTGTTCAACATGTTTTCAAGGGCTGCCTCTGCGCTCGCAGCGGCCGCGATTTCCATCAATTCCTGCTCGTGATCAAAAACCCCAAGCTCTTGGATCACCTTAAGCGTCAACTTTTCGTCGGCTTCCAGCTTCTTTCCAGCCATCAGCGATTCTATTTTCATCCAGTGGCGCTTCTTCAAGTTTTGGTTCTTCAGGTAGCCGATTGTCGGCAGTTTCTCGCGCATCTCTTGGACCTGGCTTTTGATCGTCGGCAGAATGTCGTTTTCCTCCAGACCTTTCTCCAGTTGAGTTACGTTTTTCGTATAGCGCATCACCATGTTATTCATTTCTTCTACGTCCAAGCCGGAGAAATCTGAGTGGTACCAATTTTCCAGGGCTTCTGACCACGAGACTTTGCTATCCCAAAGAAGCGATCTTAGCCGCAATTGATTCGTCACTTGATCTAAAATATCCAGTCGCGTTATCTCGAGCTTCAAGTTACGCTGGTACGTCTGATATTTTTTTGCGGTTTCTATCGAATCTTCCAAGCTTTTTGTTAGTCTTTTCAACGTCTCGATACAAATATTTGCTTCGCTGGATCCACTCAGCAACCAAGGCTCCTATCAAACACCAACAGACCAAATAAGTTTATTGTAAAAAAAATTAATTTGATACTAAAAAAAATTATAAACAAAAATATTCTTTAAAAATTCAAAATTTGTCTGCTTAATTTAAGATTATCAAATTATTTTTTGTGGTTAAAATTTATTTAATTTTTTTATCAATACAATTTTAACTCTATTTTTAGAGTTTTTAAAAAATGATTTTTTTTTTTTTCAATTAAATTTTATTATAATTTTGTTTTCAAAGTCGGTAATTAAGATCATTAAAAAATTCAAAATTTTTTCTGCTTGATTTAAAATTATCAAACTCTTCAAAATTATTTTTTACAATTAAAATTTTTTCTCTTGAATTTAATTTTTTTATAAGTACAATTTTAACGAGGCTCTAATTTTAGAATTTTAAAAAAATGAATTTCGTTTTTTTTTTTTTCAATTAAATTTTATTATAATTTTGTTTTCAAAAAGGCTGAACAGTCTCTAATTTTTACATAAATTTTTTCAGCAATTAATCGAATTTATAATTTTCATATTTTCATAAAAAATTAAAGGCTAAAATTTTAATTAAAAATTTTTTAGCTGCTCTTGAATAAAAATAAAATTTTCATATTTTCTCTAATGAGATATTTTATATTAAAAAAATTTTTTTTTGATTTTTAAAATTTATTTGTTATTAAAAAAGACCTTATTAATGGAAAAATTTGATAAATGTTAATGTTTACCGTCGCTTGTTCACTAATACTCGAAATTCCATCAACCAAACTCTTAATATCTTCCTCTATTTTTTCATTAAATCCTCTGATCAATTTCTCGCGTTCCTCGAGACGCTTATCAATCGATAATCGCAAGCTCGTCAATTGCATGCTCAAGCCCTGAATTGAAAGCAGCAATAGTATTTATTTTTTATTATTTCTTTTCCTCTTTCACTTTATCTTAAAATTCAATAAATTCAGACGCTTTAAATTCAAACCATGTATTGTGTCGTGTCTTCAATAGAAACGGGAACATCAAAGTCTTCAATAATGTCGTACAAGTCTTTGATATAATTCATCTCTGTTTCCATGTCGTCAACTTTCTGCTGCGCGTGATCTACGAAATTAATGTAGTCGACAAATTCTTCGGCGCTCCTCGGTTCGTTCTCCAGATAATTCAACGCTTCAAAAGCTTTAGACTCCAAAAATTTAACTTTGCTTTTTCCAATTCTGATAAAAAGTAATTTAATTATTGACGAGTATCAATTTTTGATGTATTAGATTAATAAAATTACTTTCTACTCACTCGGGCATTATTTTTTCCAGTAGCTTCATTTTTTCTGTAGGAGCCAACAGCGCTTTCTCTTTAAACCGGTTAAGCTGCAAATAAAATATCCTGACGGGCTGAAAATCAGTGATGTTTAAAATAACTTCCTCCTCGTTTTTGTAACGCTCACACCACTCGCGGAAAAGTTCGCAGCTGGTGTTGTTCAGGATAATGTTTTCGTTTAAATTTTTATCCTCCCTGTAAAACTCTTCGACGTCAGCAAATCTCTCGCAGTAACGACGCACTGCTATAATGTTTAACTCCAATAGGTCTTCCAACTCTCGAATAAGGGTTTTTATCGTCGTGTCCGTCGGGAGAATTCTGGATATTGATGGTGGCTCGCCGCCAAAATAATAGTTTTCTTTTTTACGATTAATTATTGGCCTGGAATTAATTTATGGGATCAATAAATTTTATTTTTAAAAATCATTGAAGTTTTTTAATGTTGAAATAATAGAAAAAGAAAAAATAACTTTGTGAAACATTCAAAGTGCGGATCTGTTAAAAGAGGTTTAATATCAAGATTCTCTCTCCACATTGATTGCATCCGTTCGATTACAAACCGAAAGACATCTTCCGGCGGGTCCATTTTAATTTCTTCATCAGTCAATACGATATCAACTACCCAGTATGGATTCTTTTATTAAAAAAAATAAAATAAATAATTTTAATTAATTTAAAATATGAAAAAAAAAAAAAAAATAATTTTAATTATTAAGAAAATAAGTAAAATTTTGTGGCCAGTGTATTTATATGATAGATAATGAAGAAATGACCATGTATCTCGTGAACTATTGACATTTTTAAAGATATAAGCTCATCCCGATGTTATACTCATCAAAACCTTTCATTTAAGTACCCACATCAATTTTTCATATATTTTATATATTTATATATATGTATATATGAAAAATATATCAAAAATGCATGTGGGTACTCAAATGAAAGCTCTTGATGAGTGTAACATCGAGATGAGCATATATCTTTAAAAAAGTGAATACTTAAAAGAGTACAGTGCAATTTAACAGTTGTCTTGTGACTTATTGACATTCTTCAAGATATAAGCTCATCATGACATTACACTCATCGAGACCTTTCATTTGAGTACCCACATTAATTTTTCATATATTTCATATATTTATATGTATTATATATATGTATATATGAAAAATATATCAAATATACATGTGGGTACTCAAATGAAAGCTCTCGATGAGTGTAACATCGGAATGAGCTTATATCTTTGAAAAGGTCAATTATTAAAAAAGTACAGTGCAATTTAACAAAATTCATTATTTAATAAAGCAAAATTTTACTTATTTATAGTTTAAAAGTAACGGCAGTCACATAGTGACTGCAAGGTTGCTAGTTTTAATTAATTTGAAATATTAAATAAAAAAAAAAAAATAATGTTATGTAAAGAAATAATTACTTTGAAGGGTGACTGAAAATGATTAACATTTTCTCTATTGACATTAATTTGTACATTCGAAAACTGTATTTCATTAGGAAGTATATTTGTGTATATTCTCAGCACTTTCAGCAGATCAATATAAGTATTTTCCAACACATTACACAGCAAGCTTGTAACGGTATAGTCGATTAAGTGAATGAAGCTAAAATAGTGTTTACAATCTTAATAATTCATAATTAACAATGTTTATTTCTTCAATAAAATATCAGTTTGTTCCCTATCACCAATTAAGTAACTTTTCGATTAATAAATTATTGACCACTAATTACAATATTAAAATAAAAAAATTATATATGAACCTTGAAAGCCATTTACAGTGTTCTCTTTTTCTAGTTTGTTCAATAAAGCTCATCTTCAACTCACTCGAATTTTTAATATAAATTTTCGAGGCGTGTGTTCCAAGTTTACCGTACGCCGTTTGAGCAATTGTAATATTAGAATCGTCTATTGTATACCCAACTTCATTGAGCGATCGATTGCAAGCGTCATAACTTATATCTATTATAAGATTTCTCAGTCCGTTCAATTTAACCACGCTAGTTTCTAATTGTTTTAACTTAAAGTAAACCAATTTACAGTAAATTACTTACTTACATGTTTAAATAATCAAGACTAGAAAAAAAATACCTGCAGTTCGACAAAATAAAAGAGCGTAATTTTTTCTACAACCGTAGTGTCCACAAATGAAGTGTCATGAAAGTTGTAAGTCTCCTTTTTGATGTCCAGCAGGGCTTTTCCGAGGGTATTATTGCAGATAAATAATCGATTTGCAATAAAATTTTTTGCATTGTTAAATTTTTTTATTGTAAGCATTTTCCGCCAAACATAAAACGCTTTCCATGTTGAAAATAACCGGAAGGTCTTTAGCTAGTAATGAGGGAAAAAAATAGAAAAATAAGTCAAGGGCTTTTCTTTTATTATTATTATTATTATTATTATTATTATTAATATTATTAATATAATATATAATAATGATTTTGAGAGATTTAGGGCTCTCACTTTCATAAGCTCCAAATAAAAGTTGTATTCCCTTGCCCACTCAGAGAGCGACGTGAAACTCGCTTCTCCAGGACTATAGTGGGTCACACCACTCCCACTAATGGTAATGTAAGCTCCATCCACTTGTTTGTAGGGAACTATTCTGAATAGAAGTAAAATATTTTAAAAGTGACTCAGTATTGCATGCACGAGCGCTTAATGCTAATCTTGCGTCAGTTTCAGTGCAAGAGGTCTTACTTTAATGCGTAAGGGGTGAAGTACTTAGAGGAGCGTTCCACTGCATAAATCATGTAGCGAAATGAAGCATTTGGGTTCCTAGTGAATTCTTCAATTAGCTTCAGGTGGTCTACTATATCCGGCTCCGTTTGATCTTCTTTCCGAGCTGGAAATTAGCACCAGATTCATAATTATTCTATCGTATATATTTTCTTTAATATTAATTTATTAATTACTTTTGTGCTTTTTCCCCGCATGCGAGCATTTATATTCCTTTGTAGACATTTGAGATATATACAACTCAGAGGTTATGATTATATTGCTATCTCAGTAAACTTCAGTTCAAATGTTTTTTTAAATTTGTTGTATAAAGTTGTCTGAGAAAAAAATTTTCCGATAATTTTATTTACAAATGTTTGAAGTTCCGTCAAAGGAACGGTAAAAAGCTTTTTTACGCGAAAGTATTTGGACTGCTAAATTGCGTTTCGCGCTACCGATATTTGTGCGTATCAATCGTTTTGGGGTTTTTCAAAAAGACAGTCGACAGACGGAATAATTCTATTTATTTGTGGTTTGATTTTTAGTTTAGAAATTTAGTTCAAGGTTGAATTTTGATCAAACGACCTAATTAACTGGACTATTCAATAAAAAAAAAATTGACTGCAAAATTTTTTGATTTATTTATTTTTCAATGTATAAATTGGATTTTTCCACTGAAAATTATTTTAAAAAATTTTATCGTTTTTTTTAAAGAAAAAAATTCTTTAACTGACAAATTTCTTTATTTAAGCTTAATTAATCTAGGGTAGAAGTACCGTTTTAGGCCACCTAGGCACCGTTTTTAGCCAGTTAACATTTGAATTAATTTATAAAAAATTATACTATTATAACCATATTTTTAATATAATGAATAAATTCATTTCTATCGTTTATTTGAACAATAAATGGTCATAAACGGTACAGTGGCCACAAACGGTACTTCTACCCTATAATATTTTAAGAAATTGCCTTGTATCTTGTGAAATATTGACATTTTTAAAGATATAAGCTCACCCTGACATTACACTCACCGAGACCTTTCATTTGAGTATTCACATCAATTTTTCATATATTTTATATAT